GATATATCAGACTCGAAATGGTAACTTTGGTTTTCTCTCCACAGATGTCGTCAGTTTCTCCAGCATTTTGTTTGTTTCAGATTTCCAGCATCTGTGGTATTTTGCTTTCACTAACTGACCAGGACTTTATAAAGTTACTTCTGATGCTGTTGTTGGAGATAAAATATTTCCCTAATTGGATTGTATGATGTTAATAAATTCTTGGAAATGTCACACCCATCCTCTAATCTACTTTCTGACCAACTATACTAAATTAACCTGCACATAAATTTTCAGCATGATTGTAAATTAGTGACTGTTTTCCTTTCTTTTTGTATCCAACGTCAGTACCCAGCATTTCCAAAGTGTATATATTAGATTAGTTGAAGAGTAAAGATATGTTCAACTGCCTGAACAAAGTTACTTAATCATAGACCCTGCTCTAACTATGGCATCCAGAACTGACCCACCAACAATTTATGCTGATCTGTTCACTGTAAAATACCTCACCTTCTGTTGGAAAATAAGGCAAGGCAAGGCATGTGACTGAAGTGTCAGTGGGGGAGCACACTGGGGCAAGTGATCATAATTCAATTAGTTTTAAAATCGTTCTGGAAAAGGAGAGACCTGATCAAAAAGTAAAAATTCTAAATTGGAGTAACACCAATTTTGATAGTATTAGACAAGAATTTTCAAAAGTTAATTCCGGGAGGCTATTCGCAGGTAAAGAGACATTGGGAAGTGGGAGGCCTTTAAAAATGAGATAATGAGAATTCAGAGACCAAAGGGCAAGGCTGGTAGGGGTGGGGAATGCTGGATGACTTGAGAAATTGAGGCTCTGGTCAAGAAAATGGAGGAGACTTAACGTCAGCTATGGACAGCTGGGTTCAAGTGAATCCTGAAAGGAATACAAGGGCAGTAGGATTATACTCAAGGGAAATCAGGAAGGCAAAAAGGAGGCATGAGGTAGCTTTGGCAAATAGTTAAGGAGAATCCAAAGGGATTCTACAAATACATTAATGGCAAAAGAGTAACTAGGGAGAAAATAGGGCCCCTTAAAGATCAATGTGACCATCATGTGTGGAACCACAGGAAATGGGCAAGATACTACATGAGTATTTTGCATCAGTACTTACTGTAGAGAAGGACATGGAAGCTAGGGAGCTTGGGGTGATGTCTTGAAAAGGGTCCATTTTACAGAACAGGAGATGCTGGGGGTCTTAAAATAGATAAAGGTAGATAGATCCCCAGCACCTGATCAGGTGTTTCCCAGAACTCTGTGGGAAGCTAGGGAAGAGATTGCTGGGTCCCTTGCTGAGATATTTGTATCATCGACAGCCATAGGTGAGGCCAGAATACTGGAGGTTGGCTACTATGGTGCCATTATTTATGAAACACTAAGAAAAAGCCAGGAAAAAATAAACCATTGAGCCTTATGTCAGTTATGAGTAAGTTGTTGGAGGGGTTTCTGAGGGACGGGACTTACATGTATTTGGAAAGATAAGAACTGATCAGGGATAGTCAACATGGTTTTATGTGTGGAAAATAGTGTCTTATTAACTTGACTGAGTTTTTTTGAAGAGGTGACAAAGAAGATTGATGAAGGCATCAATTGTCCATATGGACTTCAGCAAGGCATTTGACAAGGTTCCACGTCATAGACTGGTTGGTAGGTAGAGTTAGATCATATGGGATCCAGGGAGAGATAGCCAACTGGATATAAAATTGGCTTGAAGATAGGAGATGGTGGTGGTAGTGGGTTGCTTTTCAGACTGGAGGCCTGTGACCAGCGATGTACCACAAAGATTGGAGCTGGGTCCACTGCTTTTTGTCATTTATATAAATGATTTGAGTGTGAATATCAGAGACATAGTAAGTAATTTGTAGACAACACCAAAATAGGTGGCGTAGTGGACAGTGAAGAAGATGATCTCAGAGTACAACAGAACCTTGATGGGATGGGCAAATGGGCTGAAGAGTGGCAGATGAAGTTAAATTTAGATAAAATGTGACGTATTGCATTTAGGTAGGGCAAACCAGGGCAGCATTTATACATTAAATGGTAGGGTCCTGGGGAGGGTTGCTGAAAAAAAGAGACTTAGGGGTGCAGATGCAAAGTTCCTTGAAAGTAGAGTTGCAGGTAGACAGGGTGGTGGTGAATGCTTTTGACATGCTTGCCTCCTTTGGTCAGAGCATTGAGAAGAGGAGTTGGGATGTCACGATGTGACTGTACAGGACATTGTATTCTAAAAGTGGCCTTACCAATGTACAATTCTGGTCTCTCTTTAGGAAGGGAGGATGTTAAACTTGAGAGGGTGCAGAAAAGATTTACAAGTGTGTTGCTGGGACCGGAGAGGTTGAGTTATAAAGACAGTCTGAATAGGCTGGGGCTTTTTCCACTGGAGCATTGGAAGCTGAGGGGTGACCTTCGAGGTTTATAAAATCATGAGCGGTATGGATAAAATGAATAGCCAAAAGGGAAAATAGTCTTTTTCCTTGGATAGGGGAGTCCAAAACTAGAGAGCATAGGCTTATGGTGAGAGGGGAAAGATGTAAAAAGGACTTGAGGGGCAACTTTTTTAGACAGAGGGTGGTGCACCTATGGATTGAGTTGCCAGAGGAAGTGGTGGGTACAATTACAACATTTAAAAGAAATCTGGATGGCTATATGCATAGGAAGGGTTTAGAGGGATATAGGTCAAATGCTGGCAAATGACACTAGGTCAGATTGGGATGTCTGGTTGGCAGACTCGTTGGACCAAAGGGTCTGTTTCTGTGCTTTATGACTCTATAATTTTAAATCTACAGGACTAACTGCATAGCTTTAATTCTTTCAAAATGAATAAAAGCTGGAGTTCATCTTAAAAATGCTTGTGACTATCACCCTTGTTACCTTATTTATTTATTTACATTCCTGCTATTTTGGATTCAGTGTTTGATCTAATTTTTTCCACTTTATCTTTGGAGGTAGGAAGCAGTGGAAATGGACGGGACATAAAAGACTAAGACTTAAAGTAATACTTCACTGCATTCAGGTGAGTGGTGATTGACTTATTTCCGACTTATTTCCCAGCATTCCCTGTTGCTTGTGAAGCTTTTGTTGACATGGTCCTCCCAAAAGAGAGAACAGACTACCTCGTGTCTCATCAATTAAATAGAGTGGAAAGTAATTTATTCTAACTGGGATACGTTCCAGAGATGTTTTAGTGATATGTTTTATTAACTGGTGTATCATAACTAGCCTCTCAAACTTGCTGTACTTCTACTTAAAAAGGAAACATTTGCAGGGCACTGGGGAAAGAGAGGTGCAGCGGGACTAATCGTTAATTTTAAGTGAGCTGACACAGCATTTCAAATTACCTAATGTTATGGTATGGTTTTATGAACCATGCCTTTGCCTCAGACTTACCTACCAACGAAATGCCTTTTGAGCACCAGATAAATGAACTGCTCAACCTTGCAAATACCAATCCAATTCATCTTACCCATCCATGATTCTGTGTGAAGGCTTGTGATCTTCATGAACTGGTGTGCATTTTAACTTGATCGTAAAATCTCATTTTTTTAAAAATTCATTCACATCTGGGAACACAACCATCTTCAAGTTCCCCTCCAAGCCACTCACCATCCTGATTTGGAAATATGTTGCTTGATGTTCTTTCTGTTGCTGTGTCAAAATCCTGGAATTCTTCCCTAATGGCATTGTGGGTATACCTACAGCACATGTACTGCAGTGGTTCAAGAAGGCAGCTCACCATCAACTTCACAAGGACTATGGGTGGGCAATAAATGCTGGCCCAGCCGGCGATGCCCACATCCCACGAGTGAATAGATGAAGTGGACAAGGTTCCAATACTATTTCTTATCCTCTTGTATTATTACTGCAAATTGAGATGATATATGGGGAGTTCACAAATAAGAAAAACCATTTCAGTTGAAGCAACTGTTTTGGGTCTTGACACTTAAAGCTATGCTATTGCCCAACTTTCTAAACTAACTTCCCAAGGATAAATTCTAAATTTGTCAGATTGATAATATGATTCAAAAAAGTATTTCAAGTATTACATATCAACTTTATACCATTTAAGATGAGCAGAAGAGCAGAGATTTAATATTGGCACTGCACAAGACACTGGTTAGGCCACAGCTGGAGTTTTGTATATATTTCTGGTCAACATGTTACAGGAAGAACATAATTACTCAAGAGAAGGCAGAAAAGATTTACGAGAATGTTGCCAGGGCTTGAAAATTTCAAGTGTGGAGAAAGATTGGATAGACTAGGGTTGACATCCTTAGAATCGAAGAGGCTAACAGTAATTAGTCAAGAGTACAAACTAATGAAGGACCTGGACAAAATAAACAGTGAAGATCTGCTACCCCTAGCAGATAAGTTAATTATTAGCAGGATCACAGATTTTAACCGATTGGTTCAAGGATTGAAGGGGGTATGAAAAGAAACCACTTCACCCAGAAGGTGAAAGTTGCCTGGTTTGGTGGTTAACGTAGAAACCCTCAACTCATTTTAAAGGAACCTAGATCTGCATCAGACCAAGTGCTGTATGTGGGATTAGAATGGGCAGCTTGTTTATTCCACTGGTGCAGATACAATGAGTTGAATGGTCTTTGTGGTGTACATTTTCTATTGTTTGAGTTGTTGTCTACTTATGAGAATCAACATGTATGTAAGAAAACTTCCCAAATAAATCAGTTAGTTCTTCTATGTAAATATTATGCTGTGTTGATCACTAGTAACCTGGACTTGACAATTTGATACTTCCACTTAAAAGCTGGTCACTTTCAATATTTTAATGCATTCTTTCATGAAACTGTTTATTTTTTAAAACTATATAAGATGTTCTTAAACTTTACAGTGCAATTGTTAAAATGATTGAACAAGTTTTAGCTATTGTTCCTGAACAAATATACTGCTCAGAGCTTGTCTGAAGGTTGTAGTGTCGGCCTGGCCTCCAGTTGATGGTTTTACTGTGATGATGACAAAGATTTTATTGTAATTAAGAAATAGACACTAAACATACACTTTCTAACAGAACTTTAATGCATGTTTCAACAGCATGTTTGACTTCAATGGGAATTTAAAATATACAAACTTGCAGGTTTTCCACTTTGGTGAAATAGTAATGGTAGCTGCCTAATTTAAACAGAAAAGAAATCCAAATAAAATATATAGTTAATTCAGACTTGATATATTCTGTAGGACTTTTCCAAAGTAGAACAAGGCTTCCATATCATGTGGAATCATGGGTGGAGGCCTCTTTGTGTACCAAATGCCAAGATATAGTAAACCATTGTAGGGGATATTGTGTGAGATCAATGGAAAATGGAGCATTTATCAGATGCATTTAATACCAACTGATTCTTCAAGTCCATCTACAGTAAAAGCCACATTTAAGTTATTCATAGATGTATGCAAGAACATTTATTTTGAGTTTATAAAATTTTGATGAGACCAATTTGCACACAGTTGATTTTCACTTAGCAAGATCTCATTCCCAACTGAATTGCTCTGAATAGGTTTATAAATCTGAGTAGCCAAGATATTAATTTACTACTGCTATTCTGCATTGTGGCCCTATGAGAGAATGTTATAAAGATGCAAAGCGTAGTGATGGTCCAATGAAAAGTGGTTGGACTAACTTTGCAGGTGTGACTACTCATATAAAGTGATTGATGAGGAAACAGTTACACTCCTAGCATTAAAATGTAAATCGGCTAAGACATGAGCAATTTTACTGGACCCGTCAACCAATGAAACTTTAAAAGCCAAAAAGAGATCATATTTAACAGAGTCAGATATCTCCATTGCTGTTGAGCAGCAAAAGCCTTGAAAAGACAATTGTGGAAAAACCCAAGAAAATGCATTTACTGCCTTAGGAACAAGTTCTAACTTTTCCTTTTTTAGTGGGACAGAGGGAAGGGGTTTCTTAACATACATCATGTAATATAACAGGCATTTAACACCCTTTTTAAAAATCACAAATTAGGTTTGCAAATCACTGGTAACCTGAACACTGAAGTAACTCAAGTGCAATCCACAAGGTGGCACCACTATCACAGCAGAGTGAACACAAATAGCACAGAATCTGCTCTAGGTTCTTCTAGTAGGACATTATTATAAATAAGTTAACTATTTACATATTTAGGCAATTACACTTGCACAAAGTTATCTATTTATACCCAGGAAGCACATCTGGGAATCCTTCTGAGGCTGTATATCAAAACTTCAATTTGACAGACAGCAAAATAAATTTCAACACATTTACTGGTCGCCATTTTAAGTGTCAGTTAGTAGAAACATAAAGTGCCCTTTGTAACAACAGACCCTACTACAGGGCTAACACAACTCATACATAACTTGCAAAAAAAAAACTTTCACCAAAAGTACATAATACTACAACCAACTTCCTGTGAACTTACATAACAAAATTACACAATATGTACAATCTTGTTTACTCAGGATTGCCATCCAATCTCATACTGTATATACATATATACTTCTGAATATATTATAACAATATATATTTAATATTTTTATAAACAAAACCTTACAAAAACACAATTATAACAAAAGAAAACAGTCCAACAAAAATGTTAAATAAGACATTGATGTTCTGGGCAACACTGCTGCTTCTGGGGAAAATGTGCCACCTTTCTTTCCTTGGATGCAACGTTTCCAGGTCTTGGAGGGCACTGTAAGCTGCTGCTGTAAAGTTTGCATCTCCAGTTGTCAGAAGATCAAACACACAAGAATGAAAATAAACATCCTTAACTTGGATTTTCTCATGGCATTTGGCCGTCGCAGTCTCTAATGTGTAAGCTCCCTTTGCTGGGGCCTTGGGATGGTGCAGATGGTTTGGACTATTGGCTGGAAGAGGAAGATGTCCACCTTCGTCAATGCGTTCATTCGTGGGGCAGCCACGGGCACAAAGCTGCAGTCCCTGGTTGTCATTCTCAGACAGGGCTAATGCTTCAGGCATCCGCAATGCAAAGGTCAAATACAGCCCCACTTGGCGCACTATCACAGTCATTCCAATGTATTTTGCATGCACCTCCACATGTTTACCACTTACTTTCTCCACTATCCACAAAGTCTTTATCCAGCCATTTCCCACTGTTGTACCATCAATGAATGCTGCAGGCAGATCATCTGTCATCGCTTGATAAACCTTCTGATCTGTACAGTCATGGTAAGTTTTGAATATGATTGTTATCTGGAAGAGATGAAACCATATACACTGTGTATATGAATGGACATGAAAAGAGAATAACTACACAAATCACCAAGAGTGATCCAGAAAGTGGTCTCTGTAAAACACCTACTAACGTATAATCCATGCAGAAGCAAGTGTCTAAATTTTTAAATGGACCGTCAAGACTCTTGCAGCATGCATCCTATTACAGACACAATTCCACCAATCTCAATGTTCCTCCCGAGTTAGGTTACAATGACAAAACCCAAAACATTAAGCTCATGTCTGTCACTTACAACGGCAAGAACCTGAACCACACCGCATGCCAGTGAACATGGAGACCGATCTTCTGTGCAGATTAAGTTTCAATGGGCATACCTACCCAAAAAACTAGCAAAAAATCTCCAATCCAAGAAATGATTTTCAACTACTATTTTTTTGCTCTCAAGTTGGTGTTTTTCTACATAATTAGTAGCGGAATGTGTATATAGCCATCAACACAAAACTGGACAAGGGAGCTCCTTTAAGGCCAACTTGTACAAATTGAGAAGTTCAATTTGTATCAGTCATCCAGATGTGAGACATGCTAAAGTACTAACAAGGCCTTCAGAATACAAATTCCATATGATGAAGCCATTTAGTTTTATGACATTTCTGCTTTAAGCCCATGCTTGCTTCTGAATCAATGAAAGGGCCTGTTGAGCATTTAAGATCACTTTTACAGGGTCAAAGGCAGACAATCATACGCATTTTAAACACTGCAGAGGATATTCAAACTGTTTTTCTTTGACCATAAATTCAATATGTATTATTCTTGTAAAATTGGGGATACCACTGCTTGATTAATTTTTGTGTATTTATGGTTTATTTTCAAATCTGGACTGCTCTGGCAGATCTTGACAAAATTAATCCTAAAAATATGAAAATAGTGGTGACTGGGATTAAATAGATCAGCATTCTTATTAGCTAATCAATCAGTACAACATCTTCCAATTAACATTAACTCATTGAAAATTATAAAAAATACAGCTACCACCGAAAAGAAGAAAAAGGTGAGGCATTCAATTGAAATGGAATGAAACACCTGAATTTGTGAATACAATAGACAGACATGAAAATAAGTCAAGTGAGACCATGTTAGCATCATATTATCCACTTTGAAAGGCCTATCTTTTCTGTCACAGATGCAGGCGTTGTTTTAAAAAAGTGTTATCCGACATGGAACAAATCTTAACGCACCTGTGGGGTTCTGATGCTCCTTTTCAAATATTTAAACAATGAGATGTAAGTTTTTTTGTCATGACCTGAATTCTGCACTCCTTACACTATTTCAGTAATTTCTCTGGAATGGTGCTATTTTATGGTTCTAATTATTCTTCAAGACAGGGGCAAACAATACAAACGATAATTCTCCATTTAAAACCATGTAAGTTTCTATTACAGTCAAAGAAATGTCCTATGAAGTTATCACCCACTGTAATCAAATAGGAAATGTTATACAAACTGGAAAGTGAAAGAGTTGAGATATTACAAGAAAGGAATGAGAGAATAAGCACAAGCAACAGTAGGTATTCTCCTACATGAATCCACTGATCCTGTTAGTAAACAGGATAATATGAACGCAGGATGATACTAACGTGGTCTCATCTGGTTTATTTTAATGTTTGTCTATTCAATAGAAGGGAATTCCTCACTGAGTTTCTTGTAACCCCTACCCTTCCTTTTCCTAAAATGAACCGAGACAGCCCAGTAGACGATCCTGTACCTTGTTAGTAGCTGTGGCGCTGGAACCCTGCACAACAGGGACGTTGGTTACTTGCACTGACAAGTAGTCGTTGTCAATCAGAGGCCAGGCTCCTTCCACTTTGCAAGTTTGAAAGTGATCCCGAAAAGTTCTGAGATGCGGGTCGCCAAACAAGCCACAGAAGACGTAACGGCGGCTGGACTGCGGTTCAGTGCCTGCTGCTGCCCGATGCCCCCCGACCAAGCCAGCTCGGTTCTCATAATCACAAAAGCCCATGTTGTGACTGACAGGTACCAGGTCCTTGGCTGCAATCAAGGTAGGCCCTTCCCGGGAGCAGTTCCTCTGGCTCATCAGGTCGCTGATGCCAAGCATGGCTGAGTGGAAGGCCAGGTTACCCCGGCACGCCTTGGCTGTGCGCTCGGTGCAGAGAGCATAAGCTCGGAGGGCGATGCAGAACTCTGAGGCGAAAGCATTCAGGGCGGCATTCAGATGGGAGGTCAGGGCCACAAAGTCAGTGGTACACTTCTGGATCCTGCACTGATACTGTTGCTGGCAGTAAGCTGCAAAAACAAACATAGCACAAAGTGTGAAGCACGGTGCACTGAGGTTTGGTAGAAGACGCATTCAAAGAAATCTAGCCAACTTCCCCCGCACCCACTCCCCCCCAACCCCAGATTGAAAAGTATTGCATTCCTAAAGTATAAATCAATTTGCATACAACGTTGCCAGGGACGGAGGCAGATCTATTTTAAGCTTCGAATACGACTGAAGACAGTTATTGAAAGATTGCGTCTATGGTAAAGCTGCATTAAGAGCAAGTGTTCAAAACTTTCTTTAGGACTGTACTGCATTCTGAAGGTTCAAGTGTGTTAGACCGACTAAGCTGGCACTTGCACTGTAAACTGTAGTTAAAATGTTACAATGACGTGCAGAACACTGTCATCCTCGCATCATTTGCAATTTTGGCGGAGGTAACGTGGATGCAAACACCACGGAAAAGCTGACTAGCACCAGATTTATAATAACAGACTAACTGATTTCTCTACTGTATCCTTAACATTTAAATCAGGGTTAGAATGATTTAGTGGCGATTAAAACGGACATATCTGAAGAACTCAAATAGACAGAAAAAAGTATCCAGAGAAATGAAGCAAACGATCCAGCCATTTCATGCAGTTTGTAATTTGGAGATCGTCTGTGGACTTTCAGTAAACACGATGGATGCAAGGAATTATTTCCACCACCTCCCCCGCTCCCCCCCCCCCACCCCGCCTTGCCTCCAGAAATCATTCTTTGAAATTAACTACTTCCCCACGTGAACTGTTCTAATCAGAGTGAGCAGATTAGACTTTAAACCAAATCGCTTATTTACTTTAGGTTGCCAAAGAAGAGGGTTCGTGATAGTGATAAGATACTAAGTCTAAATAGAGGGGGAAGAAAAAGGGTTTTCAATGGCGGGGGTTGAGCCAAACAAACACATCCCAAAGGTGGATACAGCCTCCAGGCTCTGCTTGATGCTAGACTCCTGCACAAACATTTCAATTTCCAACGATAAGACGGTGCTGAAACCGGGGGGGGGGCGGTTTACCTGTGTTGGCACACGTCGAAATGAAAAGCAACAGCAAAGTGAAGGCGGTGGAGGGGCGTTCAGCCCTGTGCTGGTAAAATCCTGCTTTCCCCATTCCCATCCATTCAGGTCGCAGGCAGTTTCTCAAATCCTTCAGCGAGAAGAGGCAGCGGCTGCGGGAACCTCTCCTCGTCCTTTGGGAGCCACAAACACATGGAAGGAAAATTAATCAAAGCAAGAGACAGAGCTGCAGCGCTGAGCGTGTCCCTGTCACACACACAGAGATGCCGCTACTCCGGGACAACGCGCTCACAATCCGCTCTCCACGGTGTAACCAAACCCCACTGCTCCCCGACATCACCGCCTATTGGCTCAGGCAGCAGTCCGACCCGACTCTCCTGCCTCCCTATTGGTGAGGGGAAGTTGTCAATCAGGTAGGGAAATCGCTTCCGCTAACAGGTTTAGCTGCACTGAAGCGCATGACTTCATCGCGGCTGGAGGGGAGGGAGAGGAAGAGGGTGAAGGGGGGAGGGTGAAGGGGGAAAAAGGGGGAGGGGGAAAAGGGGGGGGGGGGGAGGTGAAAGGTAAGGGAGAGGGAAGAAGGGAAGCAAAAGTGCGGCTTGAACACTCGAACCGATAGAACGGTATGGCTAAATACATTTTGGTTTGAACACATTCACACTTTGCATTTATTAAATAAACAAACTAATTAAAAGTTGTTCAGAATCCACCATAACACAACAGGTATGGGTCTGCGCTGTGAGAATTCAGCAACGTGTCAAATAAAATCAAAGGTCGGCAGAATAAATACCGTGGACTTAGGAAAAAAAAGCTCATTTGGTTTCTAATATTCATTAACTTTATAGAACGGCTGTCAACTGTTGTATTGAACCACAATGTTTACAGTGTTGTGTACATGAACAATAAATCCTTCCCGGGCCTCGCACACAATTAACCAGCATCGCACAATCGAGTGAACGCAGATCTTAGCAGATCCACCTCCTCCTTCGTGTTGCTTTTCAATCTTTGCTGTAGGGTTGTAAGTTAGTTGAAGTTGCAGTATTATTATATGGACGTTAGTTTGGCTGCTAAATACTTTACGCGTGTGATGAAATGATGAAGCCAGACATTAGCAGCAGTGGTCAGACCGTGTGTGTTCACAGCGGCTATAGAGGGCGCAGGGAGACTGCCACAGAGCGGCTTTTACTAACATCAATTCTTTTCAATAATTAAAGCCACGGTTCGGTGAAAAAGTTACCCCGGTCCCTCAAAATCATTCATTTTAATAGAAATGTGACATTTCTGAAATAGTCTTTATTTTCTAAAATACGTGTGGATTATTATATGAATGTATAACCAACTGGTGCACAATGACACGTAATTAACAGGGGACTGGGTAGTGTCGACGGTAGCACGTATGAGAGTCATCTAAAAACAAATAAGTTGCAGTATATTTCAAGAAGTTACGATGAAAAGAAACAATTAATTTCCTGTTTAACGAAGTCCCTCAAGTTGTGGTGAAAGATACGAATTTGCCCCAAACTTCGATCAATATCATTGCTATAGTCATATCTGGGAAGCACCCCTGGGGTTAAATTCTCCGCAGATATGTATGTTGAAGAGATCTGACGTCTAGCAAGCGTCTTCACACAATGACACAGCATCAATTGGACAACTACAGTTTGTTTTATTATTGCAAAAAATTCAATTTGCAACCAGAATTTCACAACGTCATTCGTTTGTAAAACGAATATACCATTTCAATACCACAAATGTCGCCTTTAAAAACTATTCGTCATTGCTTTTTAATACCTCATCATAGTGCCTGCAGTTATGGTGAGGAACTATATAAGTTGGCTGATTGATAGTTTTTTTTCACAATCTTATCATTGCATGAAGACAGAGTCAACTAGAAGCCTAACTTATTTTCCATGGTAACATACACTAGTGCTCCTAGGTCTGCCTGGTTTTGTCTGAAGTGAAGGAACAGGATTTTGGTCTCAGTCATATTCTTGAAAACATAATCTAGGTTGATACATTAGTACAGTTTCAAAAATATCCTTCAGGTGAGTTATTAAATCAAAGCTTCATCTGCTTATTTAAATAATTTAAAATTTCACATATTAAGATTGTGAAACCATATCTGAAGAGGAGTCCTGGTGTCCTGGACAACATTGCTTCTGAGCTACCACCACTAAAAACAAGTTATCTGCAAGATCTAAGCATGACAATGGTGGGAAGGTGTTCAAAAAGATACTGAGAGACACCATTTATTCACATTTGGAAGCAAATGGATTGGTTCGTGATGGGCAGCATGGGTTTGTGCTGGGAAGGTAATGTTTCACCAGCTTGAGTGAGTTTTTTTGAGGAGGTGACAAGAATGATTGATGAGGGAAGGGTAGTGGATATTGTCTACACTGACTTTAGTAAGGCATTTGATAAGGTTTACCTTATGGCAGGCTGGTGCAAAAGGTAGAGTCTCATGAGATCTGGGATGAGCCAGTTAGATGGATACAAAACTGGCTTGGTCATAGAAGACAGAATAATGGTGGGAGGGCGCTTTTTGTAATGGAAATCAGTAACTAATGGTGTTCTGCAGGGATCAGTGCTGGGACCTTTGTAATATATAAATCATATGGAGGAATATGTAGGTGGTCTGATTAGTAAGTTTGCAGGTAATACCAAAATTGGCAAAGTTGGAGATAGTGAAGAGAATTATCAAAAGGATACAGTGAGATATAGATAGACTGCAGATGTGCGTAGTGAAATAGCAGATGGAATTTAATCCGGACAAATGCGAGGTAATGCATTTTGGAAGATCAAATTCAGGTGCGAATTCTACAATAAATGGCAGAACCCTTAGGAACATTGACATAGAGAGGAATCTGGGTGTACAAGAACACAGTTCCCTAAAAGTGGCAAAACAGCTGGATAAGATGGTAAAGAAGGCTCACAGCACGTCTGCCTTCATTGGCCCAGGCATCGAATACAAAAGTTGGCAAGTTATATTACAGCTGTAACAAACTTTAGTTAGGCCACATTTGGAGTACTGTGCGCAGTTCTGGTTGCCACACTACCAGAAGGACATGGACGCTTTGGAGAGAGTGTAGAGAAGGTTTACCAGGACGTTGCCTGGACTGGAGCGTTTTAGACATGAGGAGAGGTTGGATAAACTTGGATTATTTTCACTGGAAAGACAGAGGCTAAAATTATGAGAGGCATAGATGGGGTGGACAGTCAGAGGCTTTTTCCAAGGATGGAAAGATTGACTAAAAAAGGGAACAGGTTCAAAGTGAGAGGGGGAAAGTTTAGGGGAGAAGGGCAGGGAAAATTTTTTCACACAGTGTGGTGGGTACCAGGAACACAATGCTAGTGGAGGTGGTGGAAACAGGCATGTTAGCAATGTTTAAGACTTATATTGGTAGATACAAATGGGAGGCGAACAGAGGGATAGAAACTGAGCATAGGCAATAAGTAGCGGGTCTCAGTAAGGAATGGGATTCGGCACAGGCGTGGTGGGCCGAAGGGCTTGTCCCTGTGCTGTACTGCATTGTATTGTATGTGCAGATTGGTGGTTAGATTCGTCTACCAAACAATTGCTGCACTTCAAAGCAATTTATTTATGTGAAGTGCCTTGAAATCTTAATTGTGGAAGTCATGGCAAAAGATTCTACAATTGCATGTCTTTTCTTACAAGGATCTTAATATGGGTGTGTGTGTGTGTACGCGCACAAATTTTATAATTTTCAAGAAAAGGGATATTGGTGTTTGAAAATATATTCAACTCACTTTTAGGTCATACTTATCATAGGCTGGATGTGGAGAACATCTTTATTTACTCTTTCCAATAAATGTATCATTAGGCTAGAATCTCTATTGGACTGGGCAAGATTGTTAATTTTTCTTGACAATTTTATCAATCTTAATTCTGGAGAATGAAGTGTCGTCACAACCACACTGGAATTATCCACTCTAAATTGATAGGATCGTTACATCTTCAAGTGATAACTTTCATTCCATTGGTCCTACCTGAATATCTAAGCAGGTTACTGAATCAGAAAGGTGATCAATATTAATAACGGCCTACGTTTTCTTTTCCAAACAGTCCCCTTTCATTCTGATGCCATTTCCCTGGGTGCCAGCAGGAAGTCCAACCTGTTGTAATCATATGCAGTGAAAAAGTCCCTTTCTTCCAACATCCCTCATGGCCCACTGAAAATTACATACACATGAAATAGAAGCAGGAGTCCCCTCCACCAAAACAGTTTCCATTTGACATCCATAAACTTAACAGTTTTGTTGAAAGTCACATTTCCAAATAAGTCTGAATGTCATGTCAGCACTAGGAATCAGTCCTTATGCATACATCAAATGCTATAGTGTTGTATTTGGAAAGAATCTCTGGCACTTAAGCAGTCAGTTATCAGGGGTTATAGCAGGAGCCTTTCTTTATGAATCGTGCCTACTTGGTATTTCACTCACACTATATGTTTAACTAGACAGAAATTCAAAATTTTGTATTGCTGGAGGTTATTGCAATGGTATAAACAAACAAATGAATTTCCCAAATCACCTTTTGGTTGAAGCGACCATATAAAAACTAATGGAATGGTTTTAATAATTCAGTATTTTGTTCCCTGATGAACATTAAAAATCTGTTAGATATTAGATTCTCTAGAATGTTCTAATACCATGAGTGAAATATCAGCTGTCAGCAGTGTAATATGAAAGAGTTCTGTGCTATTGGGCATTCCTGTGGAAATTCTTGGAGCCGTTAAAGGACTGGAACATTTGAGGCTCTCAAACATTGAAATGTGTTTTTTTTCCATTAAAACTCCACAACTCTTCCTTCCAAAATTAAATGCACTTCGAAACCGCCTCATAAAGAGCAAGAGTTCAGATTAGAAGTAGAGCCCTGAGAACAATGGCTGGGGAAGGGAGATGGGGGAAAGAGTGTGGGAGATGTTCTGATGACTTCATGACCTTTGTAAGTTCCTAACAAAACCTATGTTCTTATGAACTGAAACTAAAGGTCCAAGGGGTTTTTTCATGTTTTAAATAAAAAAGGAAACTTGATATTACCATATACAAGGCAATTGTCGAACAATTTTACCTGAACATGATCCATGTGTCAACTGTGCTGATATCCCAATATATATCAACTGTGCATAGAATATGAATTGGTCCAGGTTATTAGGGGAAAAAAAAGTTTCAGTGGAAGGGAAAGACCTTCGCCAATCTCATCTATGCCCCTCATGATTTTATAAACCTCTATAAGGTCACCCCTCAACCTCCTATGCTCCAGTGAAAAAAGTCCCAGCTTATCCAGCCTCTCCATATAATTCAAACCCTTGATCCTAGTAAATCTTTTCTGTACCCTCTCCAATTTAATAATATCTTCCTATAGCAGAGCGATCAGAACTGTATTCCAAAAGTGGTCTCACCAACATCCTGTCAACCTCAATACAACATCCCAACTCCAAAAGTCAATGGTCTGAGCAATGAAGGCAAGTGTGCTAAACACCTTCTTAACTACCCTGTCTACCTGTGATGCAACTTTCAATGAAAGTTAAAAGTTGCCAAGGTTACCTGAACCCCTAGGTCCCTCTGTTCTACAACACACTCCAGGGCAGTACCTTTTACTGTGTTTGTTATACCAAAATGCAACACCTTGCATTTATCTAAATTAAACTCCATCTGCCACTCCTCAGCCCATTGGCCTAATTGATCAAGATCCCTTTGTAATCTTAGATAACCTTCCTCACTGTCAAGTATACCACCAATTTTGGTGTCATCCACAAACTTACTAACCATGCTTCCTGTACTGTCATTTAAGTAAACAATTTGAATGAGAATACAAACAACAGTGGACGCAGCACTAATCCCTGTGGAAAACCACTGGTCACAGGCCTCCAGTCAGAAAAACAACCCTCCACTACTACACTCTGTCTTCTTCCACCAAGTCAATTTTGTATCCAATTGGCAAGCTCTCCCGCAATCCCATGTGATCTAACTTTAGCAACCACATACCATGTGGAACCTTGTCAAAGGCCTTTCTAAAGTCCATTTAGATAACATCTACTACTCTGCCCTCACCTATTTTCTGGACTACATCCTCAAAAAAAAAAACTGAATCATGTTTAAAAGACACAATTTCCCATGTACAAAGCCATACTGACCATCCCAAATCAAGGACAATACTGTCCTTGCTTCTCCAAATGCGTGTAAATCCAGTCTCTCAGAATTCCCTCCAACAACTCACCCACCAGTGATGTCAGACTCACTCGTCTACAGGTGTCAGGCTTCTCTTGCAGCTTTTCTTTAATAAAGGCACAACAATAGCCACCCTCCATTCCTCTGGCACCTCACTTGTGGCTATAGATGATACAAATATCTGTTAGGGCCCCACAGTTTCTTTCCCAGCTTCTCACAATGTCCTTGGGTACACTTGATCAGGTCCTGGAGGTTTACCTATCTTTATGCTTTTTAAAGAATTCCAGCACCTCCTTTTCTGTAATCCTTGTAGATGATAGTGGTCACATGTTTGGAAGGTCTTGTCTCAACTAGTCTAATCTGCAACATACCTTGTTCTTCAAAAGATATCCTATAATCCACCTTTGTATGTAGAGGTGCATCTGAGCCCAGAACTAATTTTTGCTCGATTCACTCTAGCCAGGATTGCCTCTATGTGTAATTTCCCAAATGTATGTGTTCAGAAAATTGCACCAACGCAGTATTATTTTCAAAGTCTCCTTGATATATGTCCTATTCAACTTCATAAGAGCCGAGATAGCTCAAGCTATAATTTCATAATTCTCAAAGTTTTTACCTAATTTTTTTTGAATATGTTATTTCTCCATCACCAATGACATAATTCTATCCAATACTGTCAGTTCATTTATATCTCGCTAATATAATCGCATCAATACATCTGGCCCAAGATAACAACTTACTCGACAAATTATTTCTAAAATGTTGACTTTCTATGAAAGTTTGCACAATGTGCCTTTTTCTCCAACCCCTCTCCCGATTTTAACAGGCATCCCTTCATCATGATCGAAAAGGAGGGGTGATTCCTAGACTGGTCTGCTATTTAGCTACTCACCATTTCCATTTATGTTACCACTTATCAGGACAAGTTGCAAGAATATCAAATCAAAGAGAAAAGTTACAGTAATACTGTTATTCCCTCTCCACCAACTCTGATATCCAGTCTTAAATTAACTGTACATTTCTTTAATTAAACATTTAAAGAAACAAAGCCATTATCTTTTTCCCTCCTCACAAGCTCCATAATCTTGCTATCAGTTCCAATCACCTCTTCAGTCGATATCTCAGGGTGAACTAGTTTATTTAAATTTAACAATTTTGAACATGAGCAGAGTGTTCAATCCTGTGTCCCTTCCATTACAGACCACCTATTTCCACCTCGTTCTTTGGCTCAGCATTTTCCTGCCTCCCGCTTTTGCTCACCCTCTCCTCTGAATTGGGGATGTAAGATGGAAAATATCTGAAGGAGAGGCTATAACAATATGAAATTATATAGTGCCTTTAACATAGAAAATCATTCAAGGCTCTTCAGTCAGAGACAAAAATGTATGCTGAGCCATAGGAAGAAGTGCCTAGGTCATGAATCCTTAAAATTGAACCTAGAAGGCTGAAAGCTTGTGTGTCGGTAAAGGAATTTACACACATGGGCAATGATCTTAAATTAGAGGCATTGCAGATCAACTAGGATTGGGATTATGGTCAAGGAGGTCTTGATCCAGTAAAAGATACAAGCAGCAGATATTTAAGTAAACTGACAATTACAAATCATGATAGATGGGAGACTGACCAGAAAAGCAGTGGAGTCTGCAACTGGCAATAGAATTACTAGGAGTTTTGGCAACAGATGATCTGTGGTGGGAGCAGAGGTGGAGGCAGTTAATGTTGCAGAAGTGAAAATACATGGTTGTTGCAAGGGAGAGGACACAGGACTGAGAACTGCTCATATTTCTCTACCTCTGCCCCTTTCTGAACCCAAATGAGAGAGAAATGAGACAAAATATCTTGTTGAATATGGCAGTTAACTAAAGAATTAATTTTAAATTGGTTGCTACCATGCACAGTTTCTTATAGGCATGCCAACAAAATAGGTGGAATCATTTCATATCATTGACATTGTTTTAAATCAACAACCATGTATGAGAGACGAATTATCGCATAAATATTTAATTATTTTCAAGTGCCTTAAATATCACTTCTGTACACATATATAATTTTACATAATTTGTTTGCAGAGAACATCCACATACAACAAGTTAGGTTTCATGAGCTCCAATTGGCAAAGTTATGAACCTGCACTCAGTGTTCTGAGTGTATCTACAAGATAAAATGTCAGACAAATGTATTGATTTTCAAAAGCTAAAATAATATTTACATGAAGGGAGAGCAACAACACACAGTTAAAATCCTATAGCCTCAGTTAACAAAAGTGGATATATTAGTGTCTCTCCATACTTCACACAGAAAAACAACAATGAAACAAAATAGTGATGAGTTGCTTTGTTCCCTCTAAAGAGCAAATGGGAGAAAAAGGAAACTTACCAGAAAATGCTTCCGAGCTCCGCAGTGCTTTTAATCATCTGAAACAGAACACAGGAGACATTCATTTCACTCAGAGATAAAAAGCACTTCCTTTGACAGAATGATGGTTCACACATCACTAGGCAACAAAGCTCATCTGTAATACAAATTAGCTGTATCTGCTTCAGGATTGGTACAAAATTAAGGATGCTCTTCAACCAGCAGCACAATTCTTTAATAATCTACAAAAAGTGCATTTTTCCCTTTAGCAGACCTCAGTAAATTTACAATGCTAATTTGATTCGCTGTTTAGCGGTACTAACAAATTAAAATCTGTTAGGTGAAGGTTATCAGCATTTCCATTCTTTGTGACTTACAGAGCATGAATCCTATCTATCAGTTTCCAGGCAAGTTAAGGATGCTTGTTCTTGACTATTAGCTATCTTTCTCTTCTCCAACAAATCACACAAAGACTTCTTTCAGCCTTGGTCAAACAGCTCCCAGTGTATTCCTACATTTATGATCAGTTCACTTGTCAAAGGCAGCATATCAGATGTCTTCACACAGGCTTAGCTTCAGCCAACATGGACAATTTGTAATACTACCAAAGGATCAGAGCACACACTTTATATAAAAAAAAACACTCTCATCTAGATTTTCGAAACAATATAACAGAGTACACACAAACAGGACAGTTATCCAACATGGATCTTCTTGCTTTACTAGATATAAAACAAATGGCTTGCCTTTATTCCCCTTCGGAAGGCATTAACTTCTGCTGAGGTACATTTACACAAAACATTAGTCACCTTTGGTTTATCTTTTCCAAATGAGAAAATAAATGTCAGCAGATTATCAACTTGAGGAAAACTGCAACCATGCCCCATTCTGTCTCGTCAACAGTTGCAGACTTTTCAGTATAAGTCTTGAGTTGATCATTATACCTTCCTACACCAGGCCACTAAAGACAGTTTTAGGACCCCTGCTACTATTCCATCTGGGAATGAAATCTCACAACCAAAGGCAACAAGCTATTTGTATGGCTGGCAACTTTCTGGTTCCGGCATCGCCACTGGGAGCAGTGGCCATTGCTGGAACTGCATTCAGTTCACTAAGGTTGGTGATGGCAGCTGCCTGGTAGGTGGCAAAGTGGGTGTCAATAGAGTTATACAGTCATACAACACAGAAACAGACCCTTCAATCCAAATTGTCCATGTTGACCAGACATCCCAATCTGACACGGTTCCATTTGCCAGCATTTGGCCCATAACCCTCGAAATGCCTTCTATTCATATAACCATCCAGATGCCTTTTAAATGTTGTAAATGTACCAGCCTCCACCACTTCCTGTAACAGCTCATTCTGTACACACATCACCCTCTGGGTGAAAATGATACCCCTCAGGTTTTTTTTTTTTTTAAATCTTTACCCTCTCGACTTAAACTTATGCCCTCTAGTTTTGGACTCCGCTCCCGTGGGAAAAAGACCTTGGCTATTCAGTCTATTCATGCCCCACATGATTTTTAACCTCTTTAAGGTCACCCCTCAGGCTCTGACACTCCAGGGAAAAAAGCCCCAGTCTATTCAGCCTCTCCCTATAGGTCAAACCTTCCATACCTGCCAACATCCTTGTAATTCTTTTTTGCATTCTCTCAAGCTTAACAACCTTCGTCCTATAGAATGGTGACCAGAATTGTATGTAGTAGTTTAAAAGTGGCCTCACCAATGTCCTGTTTGCCACAATATGGTGTCCCAACTCCTACACTCAATGTTCTGACCAATGAAGGCAAGCGTGCCAAATGCCTTCACTTCCACCCTGTCTACCTGCGACTCCACTTTCAACGAACTACGCACCTGCACCCCTAGGTCTCTTTGTTCGCCAACCTCACCAGGATCCTACCATTAAGTGTATAAGTCCTGCCCTGATTTGCCTTTCCAAAATGCAACACCTCACATTTTATCTAAATATATCCATCTGCCACTCCTCGGAATCGGTAGGCTGGCCTATTCTTTCTCTAGAAGAGAAAGCAGTAGTACTAACAGAGGCCCATTGGAGTTGCCCCATTGGGTAAGGTGAGCTTGGATATCAGCTGAAGGGGTGGAGGGGGGGGGGGGGTGATATTTCAAGGATAAATTGTTCTGTCCTGCAAATAAAGTGCAGGGGTCTGTTCTTGGAGGCATGAGTCTTTGGTGGGGATATAATGGTTGAGGTGTATTGTGGTCAGGTTGGCAGGACCCAGCGAGACGGAATCAGATGTAAGTTTGGACAGCACATGAGGAAGGAAAATATAGGGTGTCCTTATGAGGACTCCAATCAAAACACAGAACCTGCAAAAGGAGCCACCCCTGCAAACCCCTCCTCCTTCCACCTCAGCCTTTCCTGCCCAAAGCCTAAGCAACATTACTCAATGGGTTTCTTACCTGCAGCAAGCCTCAGCAGGGCCACCACAGTTGTAATGGTAGTGAAGCCATGAAATGGTACTTAAACAGCTGTTAATTGGTTAAAAGGCATGTGGGTCATCCACCACTCATAAAATTGCAGCAGAGCTATGTGTGTAGGTACCGGGAAAGACCCCAAAGCACTTGACAGGCACCCCTCACTCTTGCAAACATACCTGAGGGGTAATGTAAAATGTTATTATTTCAAGTCAATGATCATTTGTCAGAATCCTTAGACTCCGATTAAACTTATTTTATTTGTATGTTAAGTCATATATGTTTTTTTTAACATGAGGGGAGTGCTGTTTATCAATGGCATCCGGCTAATCTCCACTACCTTCTTGGTTTTTCCTTATGCTTTGTTAGGCTAGACTGAAGTCCATTGCCTCATTCACCCCTGGCTTACTGCTTTCATTCTTATTATTAGGATACATTATTCCTTCCTGTTCTCCTTAATTTCTCTGCAATGCTCCATCATTGCTTTCCTTCCCTACACATCACCCAAACTAAGAGCAGTGACAGGCACATTTACACTCATGACATCACACGACCAAATCTGAACTTATGACCACAACTATGCTACTAGACTACCTACCTCAGCCATCATGCACAGCCCACCACTTTTGCCAGCTTAACATTATAAAGATGGAATTTTTCTTTCCATTCCCCACCAAGAACTCAGTTCCCTTCTTACGGATTCCCAACCCCTCCCTTGCCACTCTCAGACTAAACCAGATGTTGCAGAATTTTGGTTTCCTGTTTCTCCCAGAGTTTGAGTTTTTTTCATCCTTTTTCCCATTTTTGACATTAATGCTGTCCATCTCTGCCCCTACCAGAATGCTTCTGTTGAAATCTCAACACAGATAGCAGAGCAAGTAATAACGTTCTGCTGAGAGAATCTGGGGATCTTGATTCCAAATTACAAAATTCAAAGGTTGTGATTTCTGGATTACTACCTGAACTATGTGCAAATCACCATAACGTCAAAAAGATTATTGGTGTTCAATACCTGGCTGAAAGAGCAACCTTGTAGGCATGGCTTTTGATTTATGGTGCACTGGCATAACTTCTGGGGGAAGAGGTCACTGTTTCATGGGGCATGGGGTATCCATATAAACTGGGTTGGGGCATGTGGCCTGGTTAATCAAATTTCTATAGAACTTTAAACTAAAATATAGTTGGGAGGGGTAGTGTGGGCAGAGAGTTCAGATGAAGGGAAATTTATAAATCTAAAAAGTTAAGTCCACAGAGTAATCTAGCAATTTGGGTGACTGGAAATGCAAGATTTCAACAGTAAAAGTGCAGTGAGTAAAAGCAGATCAGGAAAAATGGTAAGTTTTTTTTATAATTAATGCACTAAAACCTTAAGATGTAGGAGCAGAAGTAGGCCATTGTGCCCATCAAACTTACTCCATCATCAAATAAGATCACAGCTGATCTAGTAATCCTCAACTCTACTTTCTTGCCTTTCCTTCATAGCTCTTCCCATTCTGTTCAAAAACCTATCTATCTCAGCCATGAATAAACATATTTAGTGACCCAGCCTCTACAGCTCTTTGCAGTAAAGAATTCAACTGGAACGACCCTCGGAGAAAACAATTCCTCATCTCGGTCTTAAATGGGCAACTGAAATTATGCTCTCTGGTACTAGAATTTCCCCACAAGGGGAAACAAACTCTCCACATCTCCGCACTCAAGCTGTCTCAATCTCGTATGTTTATATAAGGCCTCCTCTCATTTTTGTAAACTCCAATGAGTATGACCTTTCTTCACAAGAAAATCACTGCATTCTGACAACCAACTTGGTGAACCTTCTCTAGACTGCCTCCAACACCAAAGTAACTTTCTTTAGATAAGGGGATCAAAAATGTTTCACAGTTTTCTAAGTGTGGTTGACTAGTGACTTGTATAGTTTTAGCAAGACTTCCCTATTTTATACTTCATTTCCTTTGAAATAAAGGCAACCATTCCACTGACATTCCCCATTACTTGCTGAACTTCAATGCTAGCAATTTATGATTCATGCACAAGGACCCCCAAATCCTTCTGTGCCTCAGCTTTCTGCAGTCTTTCCCTATTTAAATAATGTTCAGCTCTTCTATTCTTCCTGCCAAAGTGGACAACCTCACATTTTCCCATATTATAGTCCAACTGCCAAGTTTTTATCCACTCACTTAACCTTTACGTATCCCTCTGTGGACTCTTAATATCATCCTCACTACTTTTCTTCCCAACTATTTTTGTGGCAGCCATAAACTTAGCAATAGTACATTCACCCCAATACAAATTAAATCATATACTGGAAGTAATCGTTCAAAAATCTGTAAAGTCAGTAAAAACCCAACAGACAGGACCTGGCAGCTTTGCTCAAAAAGGAAGACAGAAACAGGAGATTATAGACTAGGTAGCTTAATATCAGTGATCAGGAAAATACTATTTAAAAAAGGTACAATAGAGCATTTAGAAATGAATAAAATCAAGGAAAGTCAGCATGACTTCATGAAGGGGCAATCAGGAGGAAGGGATCGATTGCGACGAGGCGGAAGGAAGAGAAAGAGAGAGGAAGGGAGCAGGAGACAGAGGCTTGCTGTGGACAAAGGACAACTGGAAGGGAAGCAGC